ATTCTTACGGGCGATGGCCAAACAGTAATTTTCAGCTTATATACAATTGATTATTTTTCATGCCATGCAAGCAAGCGGGGTTACACAGGCTAAAATTGGCAGTTAGCGTATGAGCTCATTGTTACAAGTTTCATGATTAACAGAATGCGGTTAGGGGTTCCAGAAACTAGGCCTAAGGTATAGACTTCCTTTGTCCAGTTTCAGGTTTTAATTATCCTTTAACCTTTTCACATTTCAGCAGGCTGTCACACTTGTTTCCATCAGAACTTTGATTTGGTCACTAGAGGGATGAACAGAGGCTCTATCATCTACACCATATATTTCTCCTCCTCGCTCCTGTGTCCTTTTGACATACTCTCATCATTCTTTGAATGCTTCTTTATTTTCTGACCCAAAAAGATATTCCAGGCTTCTCTTGTATTTTTCTTGTTCCGGACCTGAAATTTAGCCATATCTCCAAGGAGCTCTGGTTTCGTTTAGTAGGGAAGGGTACTTTATAATAAACAAGATTTAAGTCCTAGGTATGGTCATTGCTAATGGGATGTCATTGTTTCTAGGTATTTCCTGCAGGCAGAGCTCTGCTATACATATTTTTAAATCATGATTCATCCTAATAATGCTTCTAAAATGGAATTAAAAGGAAAAAATTTACTGTTTAGTAAAAGTATGTGGATTCATATTGATATAAAAGTCTCATTACCTAAAAATCATTCCTAACTGTTTTTATATAAAGGAATCTTTCTAATTTATTGATTACCCTTAAAATGACACATTAAAATGTTAGGACTAATGAATCCAGGTACCCTCTTGCTCTATAATTTCTGCCTAGAGCCATTTCAGCAGTACCTACCTCCCGAAGCTGGCAGGTATTTCTATCAGAGATTGGGCTGCTTATTGTCCTTGAAGCATAGTTATTATCAGTCTGTCTTAATGAGCTTATCTAATTCAGCTTGTATGTTAAAAGGTATTTGCATCACATGCAGGGATAATTTGATTCTGTCCTTTTCCCCTTACTCCTCAAATTTAAGATCTTTTAGAGATGGTGCCGTTAAGAAACTTTATTCTCCAAAGATGCTGTCCAACAAGAAGTCTTCTGCCGTCTCTGGGATCCGGAGTGAGGTACCTCGTGCCCGTCATCCAGTGCAGTACCATGCCTCACATGCTTGGACTCAAAGGGGTCGGTTAAGAGAACTGCGCATCAGGTGAGCTTACAAGTGGTCACCTACCTGCAGTGACTTTTCCATTCTCCCTTTTTGGTTAAAAGGAGGGGATGATTCTTATTCTCCTTTCTCAATTAGTTGGATACCTTGATGCCTGCTCCTCATGGTGGAATGTTCAGAAGAAAAGAATGGTTAGGACCCTGCAAACATAAAATCTGTCACTGAGTGTTCTTTTCATTTGCATTCTCTAGTTGTACCCCACAATTATAAGCTATAAAGAGTCTTCCAGAAAAAGTCTAAACATAGTTCAAGAAAAATGATTATTTTCTTTTAATTAGGTCTGAAGGCATCCATTTATGCATTCAGTAAAATTTATCATGTGCCTGCTAGGCCAGGCGTTGTGCTAGATGCTGAGCAAAGTGAATAAGATATTCCTGGTCCATGACCTCATGAAAGCTTAAAATCAGGTAGGCTTGACAGACTATTAAACAAGCCACAACAACAAAGTATGGTAAGTACAGTAAAAGGAGAGGATGTGGTACCACAGGCCCATGTGGCAAGGATGGCCACGCCCGAGTAGCCAGCTGTGCCTTGCTGGGGGAAGTGGAGTTTAAGTGGAATCCTGAAGGATAATGTAAAAATTAGAAAGGATGAGAGGAAGAAGAGTGTTCCTAGCCAAACCTAGAGAGTAACTGGCCAAGATAAGCAACTTTTTTTGTGTGTTCCAGGACTATGCTAAGTTCTGGGGATACTGTAAGACACGGTTCCTGCTCTCGGGGGCTCACAGTGCAGAGGGAACAGCAGGCACCCTGCAAGCCAGTGACTGTGATTTGGTGTCATGATGTTACACTAAGGGTTGGAACAGTGTGGTTGAGAGTACAAAGCTACTCTGTTTGGTTTGGGGAACGTCCAGCAGGGCGTCACATAGGAGCAAGTATTAAAGATGATTCTAGATGGGTAAGTGGGCATTTGCCAGGTGTTTTAGGCAGGAAGAATAGTACAAACAAAAGCATTACTATGTACTTTCTTTTCCTCAACTCTGAAGCCTTCCTTGACAAAATACTTGATATTGAAAATATTTTAAATATTTTAATCTGCTTGATTTTAACTTTTTATATCTGTCACATTTTATGCTCTGTGATGCAAAATTAGCTATGATTCACCTTTTGACTTATACTAGCATCTCTCCCCCTGGGACCTTAAAGTTTTCCTCTCCTTTCCAGAAAACTGATGACGTAAGCCAAATGAAGTTTTAAAATGTGTATATCCTTTCTTCTTTCAGATGTGTGGCCAGAAAGTTCTTGTATTTGTGGATTCGAAAGACTTTTGGAAGAGTATTTCCCTCTAAAGCCAGGTAGTGATTAGCTCAGAACACTAAACTTCTGAGTTGGTTCTGGGTTTTTGTTCTTTATTAAGCCTTTATATAACCTTTATTATGACATGTTTAACATTCCTCCCCAACCCCTCTCCCTGCCTCCAGCGTATAATATAATGGTAATTTAACATATATTAGTTTGAATAAGTGCATGAAGGAATCATAAGTAAACCAGGACAATTAAGACCCTCTGGGAAAAAAAGTATTTGCCCAGAAGAAGTAAATGAGCTCTTTCAGGTTAGCGGCAAGATGGTCAGATTGACTTGATCCTAGGGCAGAACTTGGGAGAAAGTTGACATTGGTAAAAGAAATGAAATTTTAGTCAAGATAAAGTCCCTCTGCCATAGCTTCACCTGGTATAAGCCGCCACTGTTGCCTCCAGTTTTGGTTAAGTTTTAGTTGCAGTGCCCAGAGTAGACTGCAAGGGGGAGCCATGGGGCTTAGGGACACTGGGCAGGAGGTAGTGGGGATGGAGAGAAGGGGCCCAGTGTAGGGTATGTTTCAGAGGGAGAACTGGCAACCACTGAGAATGTAAGCATATTTAAAAAACTGAAATGTCATTTGTTCTTACTACCTTCCCTCTCCCCTTACTACAACCTTTCCTGTTTCATTTTTCTGAGTCTGGCCTTCCTAGTCTAGAACATTTCCCAAGGTTTCTTGATTCAAGGTCTTTCAAGCAAATTTGACCTTTGTGTGTTTTCTGAAATCTTTTCCTTATCTACCTTGTAGGGGGCCTTCTTGTTCCCACCTTCTTTGTGTGTCTTCACCATTTAAGCTCCCAATGCGGCAACAGCCCATTCTAGCTGCAGATGTTAGGCATAGTTCACCTCTGCTTTCCCTTCTTCTCCTGTACCTTAGCCCTGTCCTTCGTTACTGCTTTGGTAGCTCTTCAGTGCCTTCAAATAATTTTTTCTTGTCCTGCTTTTCTTGTCCTCAGTGGAAGAATTGATCTGAATTACCTAGTTTGCCATTATTGGAAGTCTCTTGTTTTTGTTTTGTTTTTTATTCTGTTGAGCATTTTATATAATTTTCCCCTTAACTTAGAAGTTATACTTGTATTCTTCTTTTACTGACTGCCCTAAAGAATATATATAGTAGTCCCTTAATCTGCAGTTTAGCTTTTTGCAGTGTCAGTTACCAGTGGTCAATTGCGGTATGAAAATATTAAATGGAAAATTCCAGAAATAAACAATTTATAAGTTTTAAATTGCACTTTCTGAGTAGTGTGATAAAATCTCGCACCATCCCACTCTGTCCTGCCCAGGACATGAATCATCCCTTTGTCTAGAGTATCTATGCTACCTGCCCTGTTAGTCATTTAGTAGCTATATCAGATATCAGATCACTTGGGATATCACGGTGCTTGTGTTCAAGTAACCCTTATTTTACTTAATAATGGCCCCAAAGTGCGAGAGTAGTGATGCTGGCAATTCAGATATGCCAAAGAGAAGCTGTAAAGTGCTTCCTTTAAGTGAAAAGGTAAAAGTCCTTGACTTAATAAGGAGAGAAAAAAATTGTATGCTGAGGTTAAACATTGAGAAAAACATCTTCATGATATCGTGAAGAAGGAAGAAGAGAGACCACATTCAAATAATTTTTATACCAGTATATTGTTATAATTGTTCTATTATTGTTGTTAATATCTTACTCTGCCTAACTTATAAATTAAACTTTATCGTAGGTATGTATGTATAAGAAAAAAACATACATAGGGCTCAGGACTATGTGATTTAGGCATCCACTGGAGGTTTTAAAAAGTATCTCTTGTGGATGAGGGGGTACTGCTGTATATCTTTTTTGGAATCTAATGTTAATTGGTCCTTCTGCCCTCTTCCCAAATGTGGCAGGGTCCTTAGAACACTAACTTTGCCTATCTCCCTCCCTACTTATATGCCCTTATTGTAATGTATTTTAATATTTTAAAATTTATAAAACATTATTTTCATTTTATAAAGCCAGTATTTACTTAAATTATTCATATATTTACCCTTCGTGTTGCTCTTTTTTTCTTTCTGCATTTTCAGATTTCCACCTGTGATTATTTTTCTTCTATTATTAGAACATCCCTGAACATTTCCTTTAGAGTAGATCTGCTTGTGATGAATTTTCTCAGATTCTCTCTAAAATGTTTTTATTTCATTTTCATTTTTGAATGATATTTCACTGCATATAGAAGTGTAGGTTACCATTTTTCCCCCCAGTACTTTGAAGATATTTCATTATAAGCTGTTGGTCTAATTGTCACTTTTAAGGATTCATCATTTGTCATATTTTTTGAAGTTTTAATATGATATGCCTAGGTGTGGATTTATTTTCTTAAGGTCTTTTAGCTTATTTTTAGATAGTAGGTTACAGAGTTTGTTTTGTTTTTCTGTTTTGCAGGCACATCTTTCTGGCATACTTTCTTTGTCCCTAGGCATGTTATTCTCCCTTTTTTTTCCCTCATACAATAACTTTGTATAGGATTGCTCAGTTTTATATAAAATTAATTTTTCTGAACTTTTAGAGCGAGACAAGTTTCATTTAAGCTTTCCTAATTTCACAGAGCTTTGTCATATATATATATATATATCATTTTTGTAGTGTTCACAAATACAATTGCTTGCTCTGTAGAATATGCTGGTTCTGTTCCCCTACCACTCTTGGTCTGATCCTTTTTTTTTTTTTTAATCTCTATTGCCCCTCTCCTGCTCAGTTGTTTTTCATTTTTCATTTTTCAATTAGAGTTGACATACAGGATTCATTTTAGATGTCTTTTCTGCTCAATTTCTGTTTTATTCTCAGAAGTTTCTCCTCGGTATGAAGTCCTGTCCTAGAAGGGAGCTTGCCAGGTCAGTTTTGAGGCTCTGGTGCTGGACTGCTCTGGCTGTTTCAGTTCTTATGTGAGCCCAGTACTGGAGAGGACAAAGCTCTCAGCTTCAGCACGGATCTCCAGTTGGTCCTCTGCACTTTCTAGTGACTATTTATTAGTTGTTTTGGGGTTCTCCAGTTCTCAAATTCCTCAGATGCCACCTCATTGCTCCTTATGTAGAAATGTTAAAATCATGCAGATCTTCTGACTGTGGGTGGTTTGTCCTCACCTGCTTGCATTTTAGATTTATGGGGATATCTTGTCACCTAGTTTCGTAATTGATATATGAGTTTTTAGTTTGGCTGTATGGCTGTTCTTTGTGTTTTATGGGGATTCAGAGATTGAAAAACTATGTTGCTGACTCCACTATCTTCCACAAATTCTTACCCTGTTTAATTTAATTAACTTATATTTGACCCATTCTTAACTGGAAACCTCTTTTCAAATAATATCTATTTATATTCCAAGTAGTTGAGAAATGCTGGTTATGTTAGAAATAACTATGAAAGGAAAGTCTGTCAGTGGCTTAAACAAATTGGGGTTTGCTTTTTCCCAGAAGCAGTCTAGAGATTGGTGCTGGTTCAGTTGTTCAGTGATGCCATCAAAGACTCAATCTTCTAGTACCTTACTAGTTCAGCATCCTTAGCATGTTGGCCCTTTGTCTTCAGAGATGACACTGTGTAGTTGCAAGATGACTGTTCTAGCTTTACATAGGAAGGAGCGGAAGGGTGGTGTCAACTCCATCTGTCTCTTTATCAGGAAAGCAAAACTTTTCTAGAAACCCCCAACTGCATTCTGCTTCTGTCTCATTGGCCAGAACTATTCACTGGCCACCTTTAAATACAGAGGAAGCTGGGAAAGAAACCTTTCTAGCCTATAAATGGATTCCTGTGAGGAAGCAGAGGCTTGGCAGTGGGTGTTGGGTTAGCTAGTGACCGATGTCTGCTATACTGCTTTACTTTCTCTTTTTACTTTCTTTGCTCTTGAGTAGTGGCAAGATATAGGGGAAAGAATATTGGACTGGAGTTTAGGAGACCTGAGTGTTGATTCTAACCCAGACCCTAGCTAATTGTGTGATCTGGATATAAGTTATGGCTTTGGGACTCCATTTCTCAAATTGCAAAATATAAGAGGGAGAATATTTGTTTTATTAGCATCCTCCAGAATTCTGATACTGTGTTTTCATTGACTTAGAAATTTGCAGTGGTGTGGTTGTTTTCAACTTGCAATCTTTTCTTAAATCAGGTGGGTTGTTTGTTACTTTGGGGAGGGTTGACATACTGATCTTTGCTTTTTTTTTTTTTTAAGTCTTTTTCCATATCGAATTATTTCTCATTTTTAGGAATTTTAGAGGGGAATGGTATCATACCAGAAACTGTAGAATATTACCTTATGTTTTTGGAGAATGTTATAACTTTTATACACTGGAGTTGCTTTGTCATTAACAAACTAAACCAGCCCAATCCCGTCTGATCTCAGAAGCTAGGAAGGGTCGGGCCTGGTTAGTACTTGGATGGGAGACCACCTAGAAAGACCAGGTGCTATAGGCGTAAAAAGTAAAATAAAAAAATAAGAGATTGTAAATTGACAAGGTTGTTGCAATATGTGAGGTCAACCAAGGGTTGCCCCGCCAAATAAACAAACAAACAAACCAAAATGACCACTGAATTAATTAATAGGGCAAAAATAATACAGTATGTGTCCGTCTCTGTATATAAGGCAGTCTTAAATATGAGGTAGTCACCTATTTTTCTGAAGAGAAGAACTGAACAAAAGCTTTTGGCTAATTTGAGAAGTAGATAAAACAGTCATGTTCATTTATGGCATTAATTCATATTTCTTCCTCATACTTAGCTAATGGCCTTGCTTTCTGTTTTCTTGAGAAAATAGAAGCAGCAGAAGAGACCTCTACAAGCTCCCTCCACTATATCTTCCCAGAGCCAGCATCTATTAACCATAAAGCCTAAAAAAACTGTTAGGCAGATGAACTGTCCATGCTCTCATTTGTGGCAAAACCGTTGACTTTTGTATTATATTCCCCTCTTGCCTACTCAAGGCCATCACCCTAGCAGTTTTTTTCTCTTTTTGCATCATCAGTTTTTCTCTCTTTACTGGATCATCCGTACTAGCGTATAATGCAGTTATTTTTCCCATCATGAAAAAAAAATTCTCTTTGACCCTACTTGGTCCTGCAGCTAGCACTCTATCTCTTTGCTCCCCTTTACATCACATCTCCTGGCCATACTCAGTGTCTTCAAAACCTCTTCTTGGAGTCTTTATAAATCCATCCCAAAAGGCTTTAGATTCTACCACTCCACCAAAACTATTTTTGTTAAGGTCACTAAATTTGCTAAAATTGATGGTTAATTCCTAAACTTCCTCTTATTTGACCTACCAAGAAGCATTGGACAGTCCATTCTTCTTCAAGAAGCCCTTTCTTGCCACTTCCAGGTTACCATTCTCTCATGGTTTTCCTTCCACTTCTCTGACTGCTTCTTCTGACTCTTTTGTTGGTTCTACCTCATCTAAATACCCTACACCAAGTCTTTGTACTGCTTCTGTGTCTCACAGCGGTGGCAATCTCATTAAATCTGATGATGATGCTCAAATATATATACCCAGCTCAGACCTCTCCCTTGAACTCTGGACTACTACATACATGACAGTTCCACTGTGTGCCTAATAGATGTTATAGCTTAGTATGTTCAAAACTGAAATCTAGATCTTCCCTACAAACCTCCCTGCTGAGTCTTCCCCTCAGTTAACGGAAACTCCCAGCCTTCCCGGGACTCAGATCAGAAACCTGGGAGTCATCCTTGACTTCTTTTAAAATACTAAATGCCAAAATTATGTTGATTCAATCTTCAAAATATATTCAGACTCCAACCTTTTTAGCACCTCCAGGTGCTACCTTCCTGGTCCCAGCCATCGTTATCTCTCCCCTGAATGACTCCATGAACCTCCTCACTGGTCTCCTGCTTCTGGCCTTGCCCCTAGTCTCTTCTCAGCAGGTAATCTGAGTTAAGTCATATCACTCTTCTGCTCAGATCTCAGGTGGCTTCCCATCCTGCTAAGGGTAAAAGCCACAGTCCTTACTGTGGCCTGCAGGGCCAATCAGCTTTTGTTTTGCCCGTCTATGGACCTTTTTTCATTTATGCTGTCATTTTTAATATTCAAGAGCTTTTTTTCGTTCTCTGCATTTTCTTTTTTTAATAGCATCCTGGAGGCTCATAATTGTTTAAGAATAATGTAGTAATTTGTTTTCAAGATTTTCTGCTCATTTTATCTGTTTCTTTTAAGCTGCCTTTTTGTGTGTGCTTTTGGTCACTGTCTCATGTCGAAACCTTTTCTCAAATGTCAAGAGATCCTTTTATTGTCCGTTCATATTTGAGTTAGGCATTAAAACACTAATTTTAGAAGCTTTTATATGTATGCATAGAGACTTGTATATCCAGGGCTTAACTTTAGGCTTTTGAAGCACAGAGCAGATGCTTTCACTGGAGGACTTCCTTCTGTCAGTATCTGAAAGCCTTTTCCCTTTGGTTAATCAGTTTTCCCCAGAGGAGAGGAACTTCCGAACTTTATCTGGGGTAGGGTGGAGGTGGGTGTCAGTGGTTTAAGCTTGACTGCAAGCAGAGGAGAGAGAATGTGGGTCTCACTGTTCTGTAATAGACTCTTGTTTTAAATTCCTCTCCAGAGCTTTGCCTGGGATTCTAGAGTCCATTGCTCCTCTGGTTCATCCTGTCTGGAGATAAACCTGAATTTCTGTTTGGGTGAATAATGGGATCCAGGGGTAAACTGCTTCTTACACACAGGCTTGCAAATAATCCTGTGTTTCATCTCCACCCAGGACTTCCTCCTTCCCAATGTCTCTGGTTCCCCCACCTTTCTGGAATTTGTGCCACCAGCTGGTTACTTCTTGATTTCTCTACCACAAGGCACTTATTTCTCTGCTTTCTCTGAGCTGTTGATTCAGTTGCTACTTGTCTGCGCACTTTCCATCCTCTAAATCTGTTGACATCTCTTATCATTTTTGCTCTTATTCTTTGTCTTTGTGGGTTTACACTTTTGGAAATGTATTTGCTGTGACTTTAGTGGGATTTTGGGAAAGGAAGGAGGTAGATGGATAAATAGTAGATGGCAGAAGGAAGTACATGTGCAAATGGAAGTAGTTCTTTCCCATTAAAATTTTTAAAAATTATGAAAAAAGTTGTTGTTAAAAAATTTTTCAAACAACAGAAATGTGTAATATAGGAAACACTAGTTTCTTATAATCCCAAACTGAGAGAGAAGTAGTGGTAATAGTTTGGTAGTCCGGAGATCTTTCCAGGCTTTTCACACATAATATAATCATTTAGATATGTACACACGTGTGTTTATATGTAAAAATATGTATGTGTGGACATGAATTTTTGTAAATAACATGTATAAAGTATGTATTAAAAATTCCAACATAGAGATACTAGAAATACAACAAAATATTTTTTAGAAATGATATCATATACTGTGAGATAACTTAATTTTTTTACCTAATAACTTTAGGGCATCTCTCCATTTCAGTATCCTTAGCTCTATTTCATTTGTAAAAAAAAAAAAAAAAATGATTGCATGGCAATGCTTGAATTTAACTTGTCTTCTTTGATGGCATTTGTAATGTTTCCTTTTTTTATTATTACTAATTGTGAGGTGAATTTCCCTAGGTAGATCTTCGCAGGCCAGATTTTTGAAGCTGTTAGTGGGTGAGGAGGGGGGTACATGTTAATAACCTGCAGAACCATGAAAAGAAATTCAAAACAACAGACAAGACCAGCATTCTTGAGTTATGAATCATCTTGACAGTGCCTTGTTAGCATCAACACAATGTTGTGCCTCTTCTGTTTTCTTCCTTATTACCTTTTTCTCTCTTATTTTTTTTTTTATATTTGTTGTATAACTCCTCTGGCCAGATTTCAGTTAAACTAATATGCTCTATTCCTGTTACCTACTAGGAGTACCATTAGGCATTGGCTTATTTTATAATTTTTACTCACCTGTGTATATAAATGAGAAAAGAGCTACTACTTTTTACTAATCAGAAATATTTAATCTGTGAGTGAAAAAAATTCAGAATGATAAAATTCTCAACTCACTATGGTATTTGAAAAGTCAGTTTTTTATTTTACTTTAACATTTTTGATAAGATCTGTAGTATAAAAGTTTTAAACTTCATTTCTTGTTTAAGTAGCTTTACGATTTTGATCTGAAAGAAGTAAAATATGTCTCTTTTTAATCTATTTTGGTATTATTAAGTAATGAGCCACACTTTTTTATGAGAAAGCAACAGCAATATGAAACTGTGATTTGGGAATAGATATTGGCTCCAACATCATCATATATCTCTTTCTGGTTTTTCCATTGTCCTAGGTTTTACTATGAGCAAAAAATACTACGAAAGGTCTTTGAAGAATGGAAAGAAGAGTGGTGGGTTTTCCATCGAGAGTGGAAACTCTGTGTTCGAGCCTTCTGTCACTACAGGTCAGATTTTATTTATGTTACTTCAAGTATACTGATACATGTTACCAAATAATTACTTGTTGGCATGCTTCTGGTCAAAGGGGAAAAGTTCTGAATCATTTTGTTTTTCTTCAAATTCTTTTTAGAGTAAGCAAGATCAAAATGCTAAAATACTAAATTATTACATTAAATGCTAAATTAAATTCAAGTACATGTGCATGTGAGCACGCACACTCCTTTCATTCAAGTAACCATTATGTGTTAGTTATGCTAATGATTTGAATAGGGTTTTCTCCCTGACTTTCACTTCTGTATAACTTCTAATTCTGAGAATATTCCGTTCTTTAACATAAGTTGTTTTAATTTATACTGATTGTAGAAGAAATATGTGCCCAATATATCTTACACATTGTATGTTTAAAATGGTGTTTACTCTCATTATAATCACTTCTTTATTTAGGTTCTTTGGGGCAGGGGTTCTGATTTGTATATTTCAGATAAAATAGACATGTTGAATAATTCTAATAAGCTGGTAGAGTATGAAATCAAGTCTTAGGAAATGGAGTAGTGAAAATATGGAGGGACTGGTGGTCTTAATGTATCTAGTGTATGTGTCGAGAAGGAAAAGAGAAAGGAAAAAGTGTCATTGACCATGTTTTAGTTCAAGAAGTAATGTTTTACGTAGTGTGGATATGACTCTCATTCCAAACATCACAGCTTTGTGGATGCAGAAGGTAAAGTTATTCTCAAAGAAGTCAAGCCTTTTTTTTCTTCAGTAACACTATAAGGTGTGGAAAAAATGCTCTGTCAAGGACAATAGGTTTCACCATGACTGTAGGAAATGAAATTTTAGCTTAGGATGTAGATATGGCTTTTTTGTATCATAAGGGTCCATGTTAATTTCTCCTGAGTACTGATCAAATTAGGAATTGTTTTAAAGAAATGCCATTTAGGTTTTTTTTGGCTCCTCAGATATTATTTGTATAACCTGATGTTCCAGACTTGGAAGATCTACGTGTATCAGCAGCAGGAGATGAGGAGCAAGTACATGAGAGCCGAGAATCATGGTAAGAAGAGGAAGTGCTTGTCTAAAGAAAGTGTCCACATTGACTTTTTTTCTTTATAAAAACTTTATTTTTTAGGAGCAGTTTCAGGTTCACAGCAAAATTGAGGTGAAGATACAGCAATTGCCCATATACCTTCTGCCCCTACACATAGCTTCCTCTATTTTCACTATCCCCCACCAGAGCGGTACATTTGTTACAACTGATGAACCTACATTGACACATTGTAACCACCCAAAGTCCATAGTTTACATTAGGATTTATTCCTGGTATTGTTCATTCTGTGGGACAAATATATAATGACATGTATCCATCATTATGGTATCATACAGAGTATTTTCACTGACCTAAAATTCTTCCATGCCTCACCTATTCAGTTCACCCTCCCACCAACCCCTGGCAACCACTTATCTCTTTACTATCTCTATAGTTCTATATTTTCCAGAATGTCATATAGTTGGAGTCATATGGTATGTAGCTTTTTCAGATTGGATTCTTTCACTTTGTAATATGAGCTTAAGGTCCCTCCATATCTTTAGTGGCTGGATAGCTCATTTCTTTTTAGCGCTGAATAATATTCCATTGTCTGGAGGCATCACAGTTTATTCATCTATTGAAGGACATATTGGTTGCTTCCAAGTCTGGGCAGTTATGAATAAAGCTGCTATAAATATCCATGTGCACATTTTTGTGTGGACATAATTTTCAGCTCCTTTGGGTAAATACTAAGGAGTGCGATTGCAGGATTGTTTTGTAAGAGTGTGTGTTTAGTTTTGTAAGAAACCGCCAAACTGTCTTCCGAAGTTGCTGTACTATTTTGCATTCCCACCAGCTATGAATGAGAGTTTCTGTTGCTCCACACCCTTGCCAGCATTTCGTGTTGTCAGTGTTCTGGATTTGGGCATTCTTATAGCTGTATAGTGGTTTCTTATTGTTGTTTTGATTTGTATTTCCCTGATGACATATGATGTGGAGCATCTTTTCATATGCTTATTTGCCATCTCGTATATCTTCTGTGGTGAGGTGTCTGTTAAGGTCTTTTGCCTATTTTTTGACTGGGTTGTTTGTTTTCTTGTTGAGTTTTACGAGTTCTTTGTATATTTTGGATAACAATCCTTTATCAGATATGCCTTTTGCAAATATTTTCTCCCAGTCTGTGGCTTATCTTCTCATTCTCTTGACATGAGCTTTTGCAGAGCAGAAGTTTTTAATTTTAGTGAAGTTCAGCTTATCAGTTTTTTCTTTCATGGATAGATAGTACCTTTGGTGTTGTATCTATAAAATCATCACCATACCCAAGGTCATCTATATTTTCTCCTATGTTATTGTCTAGGAATATTAAATTTTTGTATTTGCATTTAGGTCTGTGAGCCATTTTGAGTTAATTTTTTATGAAGGGTATAAGGTCTGTGCCTATATATATATTTTTGCATGTAAATGTTCAATTCTCCTTGAACCACTTATCAAAAAGACTGCTGCATTGTATTGCCTTTGCTGCTTTAAGATAAACTGATATTTATTTAGATCTATTTCTGGATTCTTAGTTCTATTGATCTATTTGTTTATTCTTTTACCGATACCACACTTTTGATTACTGTAGCTTTGTAGTAAGTCTTGAAATTGGGTGGTGTCAGTCTTCAAACTCTTTTGTTCTTTTAACATTGTGTTGGTTATTCTAGATCTTTTGACTCCATATAAACTTTTGCATCAGTTTGTTGATATCCACAAAATAACTTGCTGGGATTTTAAATGATATTGCATCATATCTATAGATCAAGTTGGGAAAAACTAACACCATGACAATACTGGGTCTTTCCATGAATATGGACCATCTTTATTTAGTTCTTTGATTTTGTTTATCACAGTTTTGCAGTTTTCTTTATACAGATCTTGTACACATTTTGTTAGAGTTATACCTAAGTATTTCATTTTGGGGGGATGCTAATGTAATTGGTATTGCATTTTTAAATTCCAAATACTGTTTGTTCATTGCTGTTACATAGGAAAGAATTGACTTTTGTATATTTACCTTGCATCCTGAAACCTTGCTATGGATTACTTATTCCATTTTTTTGTTTTTGTTGATTCTTTTGGAATCTCCACATAGATAATCATGTCATCTGCAAACAAAGATCTGTTTTTCCTTTTCCAATCTGTATACCTTTTATTGCCTTATCTTATTACATTAGCTAGAACTTCTAGTACCATGTGTAAAAGGAATGGTGAGAGGGAATATCTTTGCCTTGTACCTGATCTTAGTCGGAAAGCTTCGAGTTTCTTACCATTAAGGATGATACAGGTTTTTTATAGATTTTTAAAATCAAGTTGAGGAAAATCCCCTCTTTTCTTAGTTTACTGAAAGTCCGCATTTACTTTTGCAGAAGCTCTTTGGAAGGACAAGCACAATGTCTCAGAGATAATAATTCTAAGATTTGTTTGAGTCCTTCTCATGTTTTTCCAGAATTTGTGATCTCAGAATGAGGACTCCTGCATGATCACATCCCTACGGTTTTCTCCATGTGGCATGCTTTTAGCACCTGCAACTCATTTAAGCATGATTGTGTGAGCTGGCTGTTCCTTCCCTACTTGTGCAGCGTACTGGCTGTTTCTCCCATGACACCTGGAACTGTTGTCTGTCTTGCTGCCATGTGTCAAATTTCAGTGCTCACTTTGCTTCGCTTTGCCCAGGTTGCTCCTTAATGATCCTGTGACCAGTTTAGCTCTGGCCTGTCTGGTTTCTCTGAGTTACGCCCAGAAACCTTTGGGGAGTCTAAGTGAAAGAGACACCTACTTTCAAAAATGACAATGCAGCTTGAATTATCAGCTGCCTCATAGCAATTCCACATGAATGCCGGCACCTTAACCTTAGCAAGTCACAAATACAATTTGTTAGCTCGCCCCCTTTTAGACCTGCTCTTCCTCATACTTTTCCTAGCTAAAGGAGAAGCCTGACAGGAATGGCTTGTGAATTCCTCATGCCTTATGTCATTCAGTTATCCACTCTTACAAGATCTCCCTCTGAGAAGTCACTTGCACTCGTCCTCTTTTCTTTGCTACTGAGATTAATCCTTTTCTTTTCCCCAGAGTGTTATAAATACCTCTCATCTCCTTGCATTTATTTTTCCCCCTTCTCAGTGTGTATGTATAGCTACAAGAGTGGTAAGACAGAAAAAGTCATGTCACTCTTGTCCGTAAAAATGTGTTTGTTTCCTCTTTGTTTACAGAATAAAGTCAACACTCCTTGTCTTGCCCTGCCTTCCCATACACCCTAAACCCTTGCCACAGTGGATGTGTACTTTCATATCTTCACACTTTTACCCCTGCAGTTCCTTCATCAGGCCCATTTTAAATGTCACCTTCCCATATAGAGTTCCCTCATCTCCCCCAGCGCAGTGGGTTCTTCCTTTCCCTATCTCTGTTCCCAAAGTGTAAAACCTCTTACTCAGGCCTCTTAGGTATCATACCAGATACATTATTTCAATATGTAGCTGGTAAGTAACTACATTGTTTCATTGTTTATTTAATTTACACAGTAAGAGTCACTCTTTTTGGTTTACAGTTCTGTGAGTTTTAAGGAATGCATACTCGTGTAATCACCAGCATAGTCAAGAGACAGGACAGTCCATGGCTCCTGATAAATTTCCTTGTGCTAACCTTCTAGCACCCTCCCTCCACAGTTGACTTATGGCAATCACCAATCAGTTCTTTATCACTGTATATTTTCTTTTTCTAGAATATCATATAAAAGGAATCATCCAGTATGTAGCCTTTTGACTCTGCCTTCTTTCACTTAGCATAATGCACATGAGATTCATCCAAGTTGTTGCATTTGTTAGTAGTTCATTCCTTTGTATCGCTGAGAAGTACTCCATTGTATGGATGTAACAAAGTTTATTTATCCACTCACCAGTTGAAGGACATCTGTTTTTTTTTTTAATTTTAGACAATTATGAGTAATGTTGCTGTAAGCATTCGTATATGGTTCTTATGTGAGTACTTCTCTTGGCTAGATAATCTAGGCCTAGGATTGCTAGTTAATATAATAGGTGTATATTTAATTTTATAAGAAACTGCTAAGCTGTTTTCCAGAGCAATTGTATCATTTTGCATTCCCATCAGTAATTTGAGTGTTCCCCTTCCTCTGCGTCTCCACCAGCACTTGGTATCCCCAGTTAAAATAAAAATTTAACTACTAGTTACGTAGCGGTATCTCTTTGCAAAGTTTTAATTTGCATTTCCCTAATGATTAATAATGTTGAGTATCTTTTCCAGTGCTTATTTGCTGTTTATCTTCTTTGGTGAAGTGTCTATTTAAGATATTTTTATCCTTATAAATTGGATCACATGTGTTCTTTTTGAGTTTGAGAGAAATTTTTTTTTAGTGTATTCTGATTCCAAGTCTTGTCAAAAGCATAATTTGCAAATATTTTCTCTTAGTTGGTGGCTTATCTTTTTATTCTCTTAACAGTTTCCTTTGTGCAGAGTAAAACTTTTTAATTTTGATGAAGTCCAGTTTATCGCTTTTTTGTTTTATGGGTGTGTTTCTGATATCTAGGAACTCTACCTAACCCAAAGTCACAAAGATTTCACCTATGTTTTCAACTAAAAGTTCTCTGGTTTTACATATAGATCTCAAATATCCTGCAGCCTTACTAAAATTCATTTATTCTAGGAGACTTTATATAGATTCCATGGGATTTTCTCCACAGACAATCATTCGTGAACAGAGACAGTTTTATTCCTTCCTTTCTAAATTTTTTTTTTGCATTTGCTAGGGCTTCCAGTATGATATTGAATAGGAGTGGTGAAAGTAGACATCTTTGTCTTATTCTAGATCTTAGGGGAAAAGCATTCATTCAGTCTTTAACTGTTAAGTATGATGTTTGCTGTAGGTTTTTTATAGATGTCTTTTATCAGCTTAAGGAAGTTTTATTTCTAGTTTTCTGAGCATTTTTATCATTAATAAATGTTGAATTTTGTCAAATTGTCTATATTTATTGAAATGATTATATGGCCTTTTTTTAAGTATGTCAATATGGTGAATTATAGAGAGTGATTTTTGAATTTTGAATTAGCCTACATTCCTCAGATTTTGAATGAGCCTACATTCCTCAGATTAATTTACATATTTAGTAAACTACTAACAAATGCTATACTTTACATATTGCTGGGTTCAGTTTGCTAATATTTTGTTGAGGATTTTTGCATCTATGTTTATGAGGGATGTTGGTCTATAGTTTTCTTTGGTTCTGGTTCAAGGTAATACTGGCCTCACAGAAAGAGTTGGGAAGTATTTCATGCTCTTATATTTTCTAAAAGAGATTTGTAGAATTGGTATTACTTCTTCCTTGAATGTTTGGTAAATTCTCCAGTGAAATAGATCATCAGGGACTAGAATTTTCTTTGTTGGAGAGTTTTAAACTTTGAATTCAAGTTTTTTTCTTTTTAATTTTTAATTAAGTTTATTGAGTTAACATTGGTTAATACAATTATATAATTTTCAGGTGTACATTATCTTTTGACATCTGTATATTCTGTTGTGCGTTTACCACCCAAAGTCAAGTTTCCTTCAGCTATCATATATTTGATCCACTTTACCCACTTCACCCTCCCCCTAAACCCTATATTTGACCCCCTTTACCCTATCTACCTCCCGCCTCATCCCCACACCACTAGTAACCACTAGTCTATAGTCCTCTGATAACCACTAGTCTATATTCTATGTCTATGAGTCTCTGTTTGCTTGTCCTGTTCATTTGTTGCTTTTAGGTTTATATCCCACATATAAGTGATATCATGTGATTTTCAACTTTTTCTGTCTGGCTTATTTCGCTTAGCATGATTATCTCGAAGTCCATCCAGGTTGTTGCAAATGGCAGTATTTCATCTCTTCTTATTCCATTGTATATATGTACCGCAGCTTCTTTAGCCAGTCATCTATCATAGGACAGTTTGGTTGCTTCCATGTCCTGGCCACTGTGAATAATGCTGCTATGAACATCGGTGTGCAAGTATCTTTTTGGATATGAGTTTTCAAGTCTTTGGGGGTAAATATGCAGTAGAGGGATTGTTGGATCATATGATAGATCAATTCTTAGTTTTTTGAGGAACCTCCATACTGTCTGTTTTCCATAGTGGCTGTACCAATTTGCAGTCCCACCAGCAGTGTATAAGGGTTCCTTTTTCTCCACATCCTCTCCAACATTTGTTATTACTTGTCCTGTTGATTATAACTATTCTAACAGGTGTGAGATGGTATCTCATTGTGGTTTTGATTTGCACTTACCTAATAGCTAGCGAAGTTGCACATCTTTTCATATATTTGTTGGCTATTCGTATGTCCTCTAGATACCACCTTTTCTTTATCTGTTCATCTATTCATGGCCTTTTGGCTATTGTGAATAGCCATTTCAAATATGTTGTTGAATTTATGGGCATAGAGTCATTTGAAGTATTTCATCATTATAATTTCAGTATCTGCAGGATCTCTAGCAATAGCCCCTCTTTCATTCCTGATATTGGCAATTTGTGTGATCAGGCTTTTCTTCTTGGTCAGTCTGGTGAGAGCTTTATTAATTTTATCAGTCTTTCAAATAATCAAGTTTTATATTCATTTATATTTTCTATTGTTTTTCTGGTTTCAAGTTCCTTGAGTTCTGCTCCTATATCATTATATAACTTCTGCAAAGTCTGGTTTTAGTTTGCTCTTCTTTTTCTAGTTTCTTGAGATGCAAGCTGATATTGTTGATTTGAGATCTTTCCTTTTTTCTAACACATGCATTTGCTGCTATACAGTTTCCTTTAAGCACTGCTTTAACTGCATTCCACAAATTTTAATATTTTGCAGTTTTGTTTTCATTTAGTAAAAAATATTTTCTAATTTCCCTTAAAACTTCCTTTTTGACCCAAAGATTATTTAGAAATACGTTTAGTTCTAATATTTGGGATTTTCCAGTATCTTTCTCGTATTGATTTTCTAGTAAATTCCGTTCTAATTAGAGAACTAGACTTAGTATGATTTCAGTTCTTTAAATTTGTTAAGGTTTTATTTTGTGGGCCAGATAATGTTCTATTTTGTGAATGCTCCATATTTACTTGAGGAATGTGCATTCTCTTGTCTTATATTGTTGTTTATAGTATAATAAATACAGCCATATTACAGAGTAGGAGGAAAAGATACTTGGATTTTTAAGATAAAAAGTTATTTCTGACATATGACATGGTTTCAAGCTACAAAATTGGAAGATGGAATAATGAACCTTCACATGCACCCACCCAACTTCAGCAATTATCAACTCACACGTCTCACTTCTTTGCTTCCTGTTATTCTCATCACTTCATCTGTAAATATTGCATAGTCTATCTCTAAAAAATAAAGGCTTGTAAAATAAAGGATTTCTGAACAGTGCAGTGTATTGATTTTCCTTTAAACATTTTGGAAATGTCATCACATATATAACCATTTTTCATACGCACTTGCCTCCTTATTAATTTTGTGGAGCTTCACAGCTTTTCCAGCAGGGGGCATTTGAAGACTGGAGAAATTTAGATATTCAAGGAAGGGATGATTACAGAGAGCCTGTGAGCTTTTATTGTAACCCAGAGTAATCCATCTCCCTATACTCCTTTTGAAAATCTCTTCGGTGCATCTAGATGCAAAGCAAAAGATGCGACAGGCCTGGAAGTCCTGGTTGATCTACGTGGTTTTTCGAAGGACCAAACTTCAGATGCAGACCGCCGCCCTGCAGTTCAGGCAGCAGAGTATTTTGTGGTGAGTGTGCTCAGTTGCCCTACAGATCAGCAGCTATCATTTTACTTCAGCCTTGCTTTATGCTGCTGGAAAGCAGCACGAAAACCCACTTTAAAACAATTTCAAACATTATTGATACCTAATAAATACTTTTTGACAACTTGTTCAACTATAAGAAAAGGTTTTCACATAATCATAAGTAACGCTATTTGAGGTTCTAAACCCTATGTTAAGTTTGTGTGATTTTTTTTAATGCAAAGTGTCTCATTTAATCCTAACCATAAACTATAAAATAAGTACTGGTATTGTACAGATTAAGATACACGAGTCTCAGAAAGGTTGAGTAACTTGTCTGGGCTCACGTAAATTGTAATCAACAAAACTAGGGCTCACCTGCCCATTTTTTTGATGCCAAAGCCCATGCTCTTAACTGCTGCCCTGCACTGCATCTCATCAGCATTTCCTGCACATTGGAGGGACATGATTTAGTCCACTTCAAAAGCCAGATACGTGTAATAATGAGCTACTTTATAATGGGACTGATTCCACTATACATTGTCTCTAGTAGTCTTCTAGTGTTCTGAATAGCAGGACACGATTTAAAGTCCATTTCTGGCCTGAAAGAGCTAGGCCCTGTCTATAGTCTGAATAAGGACACAGGCTTTGCAGCTACACTGACGAGCTCAGATCCCTGCTCCAGCATGTATTTTTGCATCATTTTACCTCTCTAAGTGTCACTTTCTTCATCTGCGAAATAGGCACACCATGAAGTATCTTTCAGGATTATCATGGGAAATAAATATAAGGTAATATCTGTAAAGTATTTAGTATAGTATCCTGAATATCAGTGGACATAAAGAAGTTACTTATATTTTGAAGTTATTTAAAAGTTAATCAGCAAATATTTAAAAATGCTTAAGAAGTATGCAGTTCTACTAGAGTCTATAGGGGATATTTTTACCTCAGTTTATTTATTCAATATATATGTATATTGCGGGCTCAAAATGTTCCTGGTACTATATTGGGTGTTAGGGCTGCATTCAGGGAATTTATGATTCCCTAAGTGCTTAAAAAGATAATAATGCAAAATAGCTTGCGATTTTGAAGTGAGTGATGCAGCTAGCATGGCCTAGGTTAGGAGGAAAGAGAGAATTTGATTAGAGTGACCAAGCAAAGTGAATGTTTTTGTAAAATAAATGTTGGAGACTCTCATTTTCTCATTATTGTTTTCCTATAGCAAATAAGAAAATAAGAAACCAAGACTGAAATGAAACCTGGCCAGGACAGTAGGAAAAGATGGGATCCATCAAGCCTGGAAATCTAAGAGTCATTTTTTTTGTAGATTGTTCTGTGAACTCTCCTGATTTTTTAAATTTTGGCAATAATTCATATATATTTTTTAAACCTATGTAGGCCAAACAGCGTGTATACAGTCCCTAAGGCTGTATCTGGCCTTAGGAACCATCAGTTTCCAACCTTTAATTGGCAGCTTTAGGACTGTTTCTTGATTGTGTTGTTCAGCAGTAGTTCTAAGATGTCAGTCTAGAGATGGCACTATGAGGGAGAGGGGTTTGAGCTTATGGTCTGAGGCCCAGCTCTCACTACCCTTCTTTTCTCTGAGTAGCTTTTTTTCTGACTGGTTCCAACTTCAATTTGCTCTTTGACAGGGTGTGGTGGAGTGAGTGGAGGCGGCAACTAGGACAGGTCCGTATGGGCCATGCTCTCTGTGCCTCAGCTGTGAAGCACAGGACCCTGAGTCTCCAGCTGCAGGTGAGTCCAGCAGACTTGAGTTTTCATGTCCTCTGTCCATGTTGTCAAGTCAAGCCCCACACCCACAGAGAGTGAGGTCAGACTCCCAAGCAGAAGGCCAGCCATCATGCTACTGCTTCTCTGCTGGCCCCTCCTTGGAGGAGAGACAAAAGCAACCTGAAAGGCTGGACTCTGGGCTCTTCAACAGACAGAGGTTGCTAGATGTGATCAGTGGTTTGTAGAGAACGGCTAATTGTGGAGCTGGAGAGGGATTTATGAATTAGTTATAAATATATTTAAAGAAACAGTATATTCTTTATTTACTCATTATCGTTTTCCTACAGCAAATTAGAAAATAATGAGGACAGAAAAGAAACTAAGACTGAAAGAAAACCTGGCTTCTTTTTCATATAATCTTGCTTATCTTAGAGGTTTCTTTTGAGAAAGCCAGTAGCTTTTGGTCAGTAAAAAGGCCTAACATCTGTGCTGTGGTGAAGCTCTTATGGCTTTTGATAGACTCTCTGAATTTTTGTCACTTTTTTGTGCGTATAGGACTGCTAAGTCAAAGAGAATAGAACAGGGAAGAAGAAAAAAAGAAGTTCCTGTTACTATATGTAGGAGTAATATCTTTTTTTTTTTATGATGACACTGGTTAATGAGATCCAGTAAAGTAATATCTTTTTATTCTGACATTTGGTATTGTCCATGCAAGTATATGTAGTGTATGGAGATCACAAGCAAATAGCATATACAGTCATACAGATCCAGGGGGTAAGCACATTGGCTCACAGGTCATATTTGGCCTGCTGCCTGTTGTTGTAAATAAAATTTTATTGGGACACCGTCATACCTATTCATTCATGTATTGTCTAAGGCTGCTTTCAGGCTACAGTGGTGGAGTTGCTGAATAGTTTCAACAGAGAATGGGTGGCCTGCAAAGCCTAAAATGTTTATTATATGCCCTTTTAGAAAAAATTTGTTGATTTCTGAACTCGTAAGAACTTTTGAGGCAATAGCAAGGAATCAGAGGTCTTTCCATTTGTAATAACAGTAACAGCCACAGCAACAGCAATAGCATTTGTTGTGGTCTTGTGCTAGCTGCTGACTAAGTGCTTACATGCATTGTCTCATTTAATTTTCATAATTCTTTATTAAAAATTTCATTATTGAGGAAACTAGGAAGTTTAAATAACTTAAATAAGGGTGTACACCTAGCAAACATTGGAGCCAGAATTTAAACCCAAGCATCCAGAATACTGCAGAGTCATTCTTTTAACCATCATGCTGCGTTGCCCTTAATAGACTTGTAATCTCAGGAGGGAGATGGAACTGACAAATGTGAAAATGCTATAAACATAGGAACATAATGAGACTGATTTTCTGTCACTGATGGACTACAACTTTGTAAGTTTTCTTTCCTTTCAAATAGCCAGTTTGGGAGCCTATAAACTCATTCTACTGATGGCTGCTATATCTCAGAACACTTTTAGAATTCATTTTTTACAATTGTCTTTAGAACTTGCAACAACAAATTTGATTAAATATGTTTAGTCATAGTGGATTTTTATGGTTTGAGGTTGGATTTAACTTATAAAACAGCTAAGTCATTCAGAATCAAATCCTGTGAAAAATGTGAGTAATGAAGATAATATTGATATGGGCCAAAAGCTATGTGAGATTCTAAGACACAGATTTTATTGTGCAGATTATAAGTAATAATGCCTTGTGCCTGATAAGCACCATATGATTTACCAAGGACTTATATACTTAAGTCCTTTCTCTTAAAGCTCATGTCTCTGAACTACATAGGACAGACATCATGAGATGTGTGAAGTTTTTAAAAATTCAATTTATGTAGTTCAAACATAGAAGCATTAAATATGAAGCATTTATAAAAATGTACTGTACTAACAGATAATCCAAGTACCTACCACCCAGATTTAAAAGGTGTTAGCATTTCCCATACTTGCCCCAGAATTTAATGTAAATGGACACTACTCAACCCCTGTTCTTTCTCCCTTCTGCCACCTTCCCTTCTCAACCATAGCCACTACTGTGACACTGAAATCGTTGTTCTCTTGTATTCTTTTTACTTGTAAAAATGTGTGCATACAGATTCATAAAGAATAAATGTTATGACTTTGCATAATTAGGAAACTTATGAATGTTGTCATACTGTATATTTACTTTGAAGCTTGCTTTTTTTTTGCAACAGTATTTTTTTGAAGTTTATCCACGTTGATACATATAGATCTATTAACTATGTGTAATATGGCTCAACTTATCACTGTTGATGAACTGTTGATTACTTCTACTTTTTTGCAGCTACACATAATGCTGCAGAGCATTCTTAAACATGTATTCTTGTGCAAGAGTCTTATAGTTTCTCTCATCTGGTTCCTAGAAGTGAAACTATTACATCGTTGGGTATTCATCTCTTCATCCTTACTAGGTATCACCCAATAGCCTTCTAGCGCCGTACCAATTTACGTGTTAATGTTTCAGTTCCCATTTCTTTCAGCCTCACCAGCATTTTGCATTGCCAGATTGGTAATTTTCATCAATTTGATATGTGTAGAATGATAAATTCATTGTTGCTTTAATTGATATTTCACTGATTCCTTTTTTGGCCCGGCATCTTTTCAGAGGCATGTTTGCTGTTTGGGTTTCTGCTTTTGAGCTTGTTATAACTCTCATTCCTTTTTCCTTTTCGGTTATTTGGCTTTTTCTTACTGATTTATGGACGTTGTAGATTCTGCTTACTAATCTTTTGACTGTTACGTATGTTGTGGCACTTTCTTACAGTCTTATAGCTTGTTTTTTGCATTGTGGTGCCTTTTTTCATACAGATATTATTTCAGTGTAGCCTAATTTATTCTTTTATGGCTTGATCTTTAATACATATTGGGTTTAACTTATAAATTGTGTGAAACAGGGTCGTAGTTTGTCATTTTCCATATGGATAATTAATTGCTGCAGCACTATTTACTGATTGGTCCATCCTTCATCTTTTTTGTACTTATTATTAATCCACCTCCAGCATAGGGCAAGTTCCCATTTATTCATGGGTATGTTCTGGGCTCACCATTCTATTGGTCTGTTTGTCTTACTCTGAGCCAATACCACACTGTATCAGTTATGATTTAATGAAGCAGGAAAGAAAAAGCAAAGGTTCTCTAGTCAGACTGCCGAGGTGGAAATTCTGCCTTTGTTAACTATTAGCTTTGTGCCTTTGTATGAGTTACTCAATCTCCCTGTACCTTGGATTTCTTACCTGTAAATAGATAATATTACTAACTACCTAATAGGATTGTTGAAGAATAAGTGTGATGATACTTGTAATATGCTTTGAGTGATGCTTGGAATATGGAAGTGCTCAGTAAATGCTGTTTATTACCACTCCTAATCTTACTGGACAGCTCTAAGTCTTCATATATGGAAAGGGATCTTCTTTATTCCTGTTCTTTTTTAAAATTGTCTCAGCTATTCTTCTTTACTCTTTCTTATTAATTTTAGGGTCAACTTCTCAAGTTCCACAACAAGGCCTACTAGGAAAATTGTCACGTGTATGATGGTTATTTTATCCGTGAACTTGATAAATCTCCTGATATTGATGAGCATGAGAAGGTGTAATATTGCCATATATAAGAAATATATTCTGGGTCATTCAAATGACCCAATATATATTTCTTGAGTATATGGGGTCATCCACAATTCCTATCTCACACACAGCTCCTGGAACTCCCAGAATTTTCTAAGTGTAGAGAGTGGGAAAAGGGGTCTTTTGATATGTTAATGAGGTGACTTTTTGAAGCATCTAAGGATAAGGGTTGGTTGCCAGTGGAACCAACTGTGAGATTAGAGTGTTGGAACTTTCACTTACCACCCCCAACCTCTAGGGAGGGAAGAGGGGCTGGAGGTTGAATCAGTTGCCAGTGGCCAATGATTTAATTAATCATGACTAATGAGGCTTCCATAAAAACCCAAAAGGATGAAGTTCAGAGATCTTCCAGGTTGGTGAATATGTGGAGATGTGGGGAGAGTGGCATGTATGGAGAGGGGATGGAAGCTCCATGCCCCTTTCTCACATAACTTGCCCTATGTATCTCTTCCATCTGGCTGTTCCTGAGTTACATCCTCTTATAATAAACCAGTGATCTGAGTGCTGCGAGCTGTTCTAGCAAATAAACTTAAAGGAGGTGGTTGTGGGAACTTCTGCTTTATATGCAGTCATCAGAAGTACAGGTAACAATCTGACCTTGCAATTGGCATTCTGAGTTAGAGGGGGGTCCTTGGAATCTCCAGTCAGTGGCCAGTGGGTCAGAAGCACAGGTAAGAGGCTGGGCTGGAGGCTGGCATCAAAGCGTGTGTGTTGGGGGATACAAGGCAGACTTGCAGAACGGAACCCTTAGCCTGTGGAATCTGATATCTGATGTTGTCTCTGGGTAGGTAGTGTCAAAATTGAGTTGAATTCTTGGACACCCTGGTGGTTTCCAAGCAAACTATAAGGCTTTGCAGGCTATGCCCATAAGGCTTTGGCTCTTATTCCAGGGGAGGTGGAATAAGCAAAGGAGTGATATGATCACACTTACCTCTTAATAGGATCCCTCTGGTTTATTATGTGCTGCCTTTTATTATTATTATTATTATTATTATTATTTAGTCTTACCAAAAAGTAGCACCTTGCCTCAAAGAGGCAGCGTAGCACAGAGGAAAGAGCCCCGAGCTGGGACCCCCTCAGACACGCTTCTGGAGTGATTCTGGATGAATAACTTCATACTTCTGAACCTCAGTTCTTTCATATGTCAAAT